CCCGCCCTTCTCCTTCCTCCCTCCAGCCAGGAGCCTCTCACAATACCCACCCCCCACCCCCAGGAGATGGCAGCTGTGAAGGAGTTTCTTGAGAAGCTGCTGCCTCCTGTCTAACTACAGTTGCTGGCCCCCAGCGCGGTCCCCCAGCTCATGGGGGACTTGGCACGCGCGGCACCATCTTGGATCTGAGCCGGTCGAGCCCCTTTCTCACCCTCCTGGACCCTTCCTCTTCCCACAGGCCTCTGGGGTAGGCAGGCCAAGGCCTGGCTGGGCCTCCCTTCCTGACTTCAGCCACCTGGCTGTTTGCCGCAGGGGGTGGGCTGCTTTCTTATCCCATTTCCCTGGAGGGGGGGCCCCCCCTGGCAGCAGTATTGGAGGGGCTGTAGGCAGCGGGAGAAAGGGGCCCAGCCGCTGACCCACTCACTCAGGACCTCACTCACTAGCCCCACTTTGGGCCCCTCCTGTGACCTCAGGGTTTGGCCCCTGGGGCCCTCCCAGGCCCCACCTCCCACCCTCTCCCGCCAGCTGATTCTGCCCAGATAATCGTCTCTCCTGCCTCCACTCCAGCTGCTTCTCAATCATGAATGTGTCCGTAGCCCGGGCCCCCTTGCTGCTGTGGGCTCCCCTGCCCCTGTGCAGGAGTGTGGGTGATGGGGCGGAGTCCTTCGAGGGGGCCTCCCCTCAGCCATTCTGACTTGGGGGCTGGGCCCTGCCTCCCCATTACCCTCTGCCCCCGCGGGCCTGGAGCCTGCAGGGCTGGACTGAGGCTCAAGGTCTCCCCCAGCTGCCTCACCCCACGTTGTCCCCACTCTAGGGCCGGGGGGAGGTGGGGAGGAGTCGTGTCTCGTCTTCTGTCTCCATGTAGTTTTGGGTGTTTTTCTTGTTGTGTCTGGATTCCGATAAAATTAAAGAAATTGCTTCAACTCTTAGGCCTGGATGATTCTATCCAAGGGGTAGAGTGTGATCATGTGCAAGAATCTGCTCTAGTGTAAGAAAACTTTATTTTAAATACTTTGGGAAGCTCCTTCGTAGCAGTATAAATTAGTGCCTGGGAGGAGGGCGTTCTGTGTGTCTCAGGGCCCTGTTTCGCCCCACTTGCTCTTGGTGGTCCTCCTGGGTTCCTGGACCCTGTGGAATAGAGACCCCTGATACCTGGTCAGTGGTGCCTTTGGCCTCATGCCTGGTGGGCTGAGTGGGCACAGTTGGGGTCTGAGGTAGGGGAAGCTCTGAGGCCCCTGGGTTCCTCCCAGAGGCTGGAGAGCAGGCAGTTGTTTCTCTTCCTTTTCTGGTCCCTGGTAGGTAAGGGTCTCAGGCCTGTGCGCCAAAGCCTGAAGGGTTCTGCTTCTGCCAGCGCCATAGATCTTCACCTGTGATGGGGCGAGGTCTGTGCTCAGGGTCCACGCTGGAGTGCAGGGCCCACACCCACTAGGACAGCCCGGAGTAGGCAGGCCCAGACCCCCGGCGGCCCTTTTCCTAGCCCCTGACTCTCTCCCAGGGGCCAGGCCAGAACCCAGGGTCAGGGGTTGGGCTAGCACTCACACATCCTATCCAGCCCTAAGGCTGCTGACCAGCCCAGCTCCTTGAGGGCCAGGCTGGGGTTGGCATAACAGGCAGCCACATCGCCTTCCCGCCGGGCCACCACCTTGTATGGGATCTGCAAGAGAGGGGGTGGTTGTAGCTTAGCTGAGCTGGCCCTGGCCTTTATCTGCCAACTTGCTGACCAGGCCCTCAAGAAATGGAGGTCCAGAGCAGGGTCTCGCTCTCAGGCGTCAAGTCCTAAGGTAGGCTTGAGGAGACAGGGCGGTGCTGGGATGCCCGTCATGTAGGTTAGTGGGAGGGGCTGGGGGTGGGTCAGGGTGGGCTGCCAGCCTACCTTCTTCCCCGAGGCCTTCTCCATGGCCACGACCATCTGTAACACCGAATAGCCCGTGCCCGTGCCCAGGTTGTAGATCTGCCCAGAGAGGAGAACAGGGACTGTGCCGGGGGCTGGACTTACTACCCCTCTGGGCCCCATTGGTCCAGGCCTCCGTCTCCTTCCCCTCCCTCCCTTCTCTTCCTACCCGGCAGCCACACTGCTCCTTCAGCTTCCTCAAGGCCGCGATGTGGCCCTTGGCCAGATCCACGACATGGATGTAATCCCGGACGCCTGCAGAGGAGGAGGAGGTGGTGGGGCGCTGGGTGCAGTACAGTCTCTGTCCCACCGCAGTCTCCCTCCCGGCTCCCACTCCTGGCTCCTCCTGGTTCTGGGCTCACCTGTGCCATCCTCTGTGTCATAGTCGTCGCCAAAGACATTCAGTGCCTCCCGTCGTCCAATCGCCACCTGGGGTGGAGGTCAGGTTAGCTTTTCCCAGGACCCTGGCACCAGCTGTAGCCCTCAAGCCTAGGGCCACCCCCTTCCTCTCCCTTCTCCCTTACCTGGGAGACATAGGGCATGAGGTTATTGGGGATGCCCTGGGGATCCTCGCCGATGCAGCCCGAGGCGTGGGCGCCTATGGGGTTGAAATATCGCAGCAGCACTGCATTCCAGGCCTGTGGGACGCGGGTCAGACGATGGGGGTTGGGGTGCAGGCTGCGTGTCCCAGCTGAATCCAGAGCCCACCCTGCTGGTTCTCTATCCCTAGAAAGGAGCAGGGTATCGGGCCCTCCCTGCAAGTGCTGTGACTGCGTGCAAGTCACTGCTGCTTCCTGAACCCCAGCCGCCTCCTTGGTGGAGGCTAATCAGGATCCCGTCCTCAGGCTCGCGGGGGTGGGCTGTGAGGGGTCCGTGAGCGGAGCCATGGCTCAGTCAAAGGGGGCCCTCACCTTGTCTGCCTGGCACAGGTCCCGGATCATTTCCTCGATGAAGAACTTGGACTTGCCATAGGGATTGGTACAGCCACCTGTGGGGTGAGCCTCATCCAGAGGCAGGTACTGGGGGTTCCCATACACGGTGGCCGAGCTGCTAAACACCAGGTTCTTCACCCCGTGGGCCCTCATGATCTGCCCGTGGAGGGGAGGCATCAGTGGCCTTTGCCTCACACGTTATTCCTGCCCCCTTACACCTCCCAGGTGGGTGGGGCTGAGCTATGGGCTCCCATTTACAGAAGGGGAGACTGAGGCTGAGAGGCAAAGACCTGTCAAAGATGACACAGCTTGGGCTCTGCCACCGTGTTTGGCACTGCGTACCCGGCCAGGGGACCTCACAGCGTCTGTGTCCTCGCCTCATGTCTCACCTCCAGAAGCTGGATGGTTCCTGTCAGGTTAACCCTGTAATAATCCAGAGGTTTCTGCACCGACTCGCCCACAGCCTTGAGCCCAGCAAAGTGGATGACCGCCGTGAAGCTGTGCTGCAGGGTTGCAAAGCTGGGGTCAGAGGTTGCTTACAGGCCTGGCCCTTGGCTATGCCCCCCGCCTGTCTGCCTGCCAAGCACCCACCTTCTTAAAAAGACGCTGTAGGGATGCCTGGTCCAAGATGTCCATCTCCTCAAACTCCACAGAGTGGCCTGTCAGCTCCTGAACCCGCCACAAGCTCTCAGGCATGGAGCCCCCTCCTGGTTGGGCACAAAGAGGCCATCAAGGTCAGAGGAGATGGGGTGCTGGGATCCCAAGGGACTGGCCAGACACAAATCTCTTGGAGGCAGAACGCAGGGTTTCCCTTCCATCCCCTTGGGAGCCCCAGCCCCCCTCCACCTGCTCACCACGAATGGCGTTATGGAAGTTGTCGACGACCACCGGCGAATAGCCCGCCTCCAGCAGCTCCAGCACGGTGTGGCTGCCGATGTAGCCAGCCCCACCTGTTACCAGCACCTTCTCTGCCATCGCGCCTGGCCCAGGACAGAGACTCAGAGGTGGCTGAGGCTGCCTGCTTAGGGCCTCCTTCGATCTGGACTCTGGCGTCACAGGGAGGCAGTGGTGTGTCCTAGTTAATAGGGTGGGTCTGGAGTCAGCCCTGGCCCAAGACTGGATACCATCACTTTCTGGCCTTAGGCCTTGGAGACCACTTCTCTCTTGGCCTTAGTTTCCATCTCTATAACATGGAGTTTATAACTGTACAACTATCACGTGGTAGTGTGAGGGTCGGATGAGGTGATTTTAAAGGCCTGCCACATGGTACAGGTGGGGAGACTGATGGCACAAGCGCCATAACTGACCGGGGGTTGGGAAGATGGAACCCTAGGCTCCACACTGCCTTCCCCGAGGTGTGTGGGGACTGGACAGTTCTGGACAGAAGGAAACAGGGCAGCAGCATTGGGACTCCAAGAGCCCAGGAAGGGGTTCTGTCTGCTCAGACTCAGACCTTCCCAGTCCCTCTGCCATCAGTAGGTATAAACTGGCTCCTTGGTTCAGTGACTAATACCTCCTGGGGTAAGCAGCCCCCTGACTCCCTCCCACAAAGGTCAACTGGGAGGAGGCAGGAAATATAGCAGATGGCCTCAGGGTGGGGTCTTCTGCCAGGCAGGCTGAGCCCAGCTGTGGGGTTACAGCACTGCACTCCTGGAGTGGGCCCCACCCCAGGTCAGCCAGGCTGGTTCCGCCTGTGCGGATGCCACTCCCGGCTTGGAGCTAAGGATCCCGCCTAATTCTAGGTGGCACTGAACAGGGTAGTGTAGACGTGGCCTCGGCCCCAGGCTCCACTGTCAGGTGTGCACCACCACCCAGAATAAACTCTACGGGCAGAGACGGTGGAGTGGAGGAGGGGGGCGGGGGAGGAAACCCAGACACTGAGGTCTTTCATTCCGGGCGGCCTGGCCCGCAGCCGCCTTCCTCCGAGCTGCGTCAATCCTCTTCTGGGCTCATCCAGCTCGACTGAACGCCCGCTGCGTGCCAGGCTCTGTATTGGTCACTTTTGCATTATTTTCCTGAATTCCCCCAATATCCTGATGAGGCAGGTGTTATTACTGGCACTTTACAAAAAAGGATACTAAGGTCAGAGAGGTGAAGTAATTGCCTTAAGTCACAAAGCTAGTGCTGGCCGGGCTAGAATCTGGATCTCCAGGATCAAAGCCCCGCCCCTCTCCCCAAGCAGTTCGCCCCCCGCCCCCACTGTTTCCCGCTGGACTCCGCTCCTGACGCTGAAGCCGCCCCCGCCGCCTTCCCACCGAGCTCCACGCACTGTGCGGGCCCCCGGAAAGTGGTGGCGGGGGAGCTATGGGAGGCAGGAAGGCTGGTGAGGCCGGCCTCCCTCCGACTCGCAGAGTGGCCTCGGTCAGCTGTCGCCTCCTCAGTTTTCCCAGTCCGTAAAATGGAGAGGAGGGGGCGCAGGGCCGTGAGCTATCAAGTGCACTTGAGCCTCAGGCTGGGATTCGGGCGGTGGCTCGGAGGGGGCCGAACTAGGAGTGCCTCGGCCGGGAATGAATGAACCCTGGCCACCCCAGCCAAGGCAGCGGGAGCTGCGAGCAGCGAGGGTGGGTCCGCCGCGGCGGGACTCTGCCCAGAACGCAGCCCAGACCCCCGAGACTCTCCCTCGCGCCCGGCGGACCACCCGGCCCCTCGCAAATCCGCCCAGGCCCCCCATTCGCCTCCCGAGCCTGCTCCGCACCACGTACCCCGCGCTGCCTCGAACGGCGCCGCCTCCCGAGCTCCGCGCCGTCCCTTTAAGAACCGACGGCCCGCCCTGGCCCCGCCTCCTCCACGCCCCCAAGAGACGTGTCAGCGGGGAGACCGCAGTACGGGGCGCCGGGAGGACCAAGGAGGCTACGTCTTCAGGACGCCTGCGCGGCACGTCCCGCAGAGGGCGGTACCGACCCGTGCCTGGGAGGTGGGCGGAGGAAGGCACGGCACGGCCCGGAGCCGCGCCCGCGAGCCCAGGCGCCGGCGCTTGTCCCGACCACGGGAGACAGGCGCCGCGCCCCAGGAGATGGGGCTTCTCAGGGGCGCCCGGCAGCCGTCCCGCGGCGGGAGCCACAGCCAAGCGCGGGGCCGAAGACCGCGGCTCCACGCTCGCCCGCAGGTTTTCCAGTTTTCGTAGCTGCCAAACTCTTTCTTTTTAGTAACCCTGGCATGAAGCAGATGGCTGCTTGGAACAGAGGCGAGAGGAACGGCGCCGAAGGACGGGGACGGGTAGGGGTCGCCCAGAGGCTGCCGTTCTGGAAGGTCTAGTTTAAAAATCCGCCAAAGGGAACTTCCCTGTCGGTCCTGTAAGACTCCGTGCTCCCAATACAGGGGCCCCGCGGTTCGATCGGGGAACTAGATCCCGCATGCATGCTGCAACTAAGAAGTCCATATGCCGCACCTAAAGATCCCGAACGCAGCAACGAAGACCCGGCATAGATTAGATTAGATAGATAAGATGGATAGATTAGATAGGTGTTTTTTTAAAAAAAATACCGCTAAGGGAGCCCTGAAACTAAAACAGGAATTACAGCGCCAATTGCGGTCAGCCTGGAACGGTTTGCACCCTGCCTACCATAATAGTACGTTAGAAAATGGTGTTCTGTTTTTGTTTAAAATAAAGGGAGGGCTAAGGAATGATGTGTATAAAGGTATGACATACTGCATGATGAAACCCGAGCAAAGGAAGAAATGCACACGTGTGTCCCACAGCCTGAGTGCCCTGCGCCTGCCCGAGTCCAGCAAGGACGCTGACAGGCAGGAGAGGCTGAGGTCCTGACAGCTGAGTGCGCCCAGAGCTGTACCTGCCCAGGCCCAGAGGACCTTGTGCAACAGCCCAGGTCACAGAGCCACGAGCCTCAGAAACAACCTCCCCAGGGTGCTCTGGTCAGCGCTGTCATTATCATCGACCTCCCCAGTTCTCAAGAGGGGAAAGAGGGAGAAAATTCAGAGATTAATAAACTGAAGTCTGTGTTTTCCTCTTAGAGGAAATGTTGAAAAGATGCTTTATTCCCTCTCCCCTATGTACACACATCTGTACAACAGAACACTGGAATGGTTATGTCATTAAACCTTTAATTACATAAGCTGCTTTCAACAATCATGTTCAAAGTGAAGGTTTTCCAGAGGTGCTGGAGTTGGCAGGTGGCCACCACAGCTCAGCCCTCACCCCTTCGCCAAATGCCCTCTGCCAGCTGAGGGAAAAACTCCCTGCCCCTCTGCCCTACAAAGTCAGCGAGCAATGGCCCCAAGGATATGGCAGCATCAAGCTGTGTAGAGTGGCCAACTGGCAGGATTCACCCAGAGGTGAGACTTGAGGATCAACCCAAGTCAGAGAATTGGGTTCCCAAGTGCCCTTAGGCATCCAACTCCTGGGCCTTTGGGTCCATGGTGAAGGGAGACCTCCAGCTGCCCAAGCCTCTTACTCATACTCAGGTCAGGCAGGGAGGGCCTGAGGCCAGGCAACTCCAGTCCACTTCCTTTCCGCCAGGAGAGACCTAGGTGCAGAGCTGGCAGTGAGGGGCCTACTCCTGTTGATTTCATTCCCATTTCCACATGCCCATCTGTGAGTCATCCACACATGTCCCTATTCCCGCACAGTCCCCAGGGCTTTGTGGGGCAAGGGGCTCACAGTTTACAGGTAGCCTGAGCCACTTTGGAGCTGGTTCTTCTGTTCAGGGCTTGACAGATAAAGGCCCCAGCTTCCAGGAGCTTCTGGAGGTTCACACCCTTAGGGAAACAAGTTAGAGGATGCAGTAAGTCACGACATGACCTCAACACCCAGGGAAACACCAGACTGGACAGAAAACTGTGTAAGGGTGAAGACAACTGGGCCCTTGTTCCTCTGACGACGGGATACCAGTTGCCTGTGAGGTGGTGTCCTCGTGGCATGTGGGGTTCCCCTCTGACCGCCCTCAATGTGTGAAATGGTTTGTAGTGCCGCCACCAGGGAAGGGAGCTCAGTAGTCTTGTGTGGTTCTCCAACTCCAGAGTCTAGCACAGGCCTGGCCCACAGTGGTCAAACACTGAATACTGAAGTAAGGACCGTGAGGCAGAGAGAAACAGGAGTAAAAACACCAACTAAGGGCTTCCCTGGTGGCACAGTGGATAAAAATCTGCCTGCCGGTGCAGGGGACACAGGTTTGATCCCTGGTCTGGGAAGATCCCACATGCCACGGAGTAACTAAGCCTGTGTGCCACAGCTACTGAGCCTGCGCTCTAGAGCCCGTGCTCTGCTACAAGTGAAGCCACCGCAACGAGAAGCCCACGCACTGCAACGAAGAGTAGCCTCCTCTGTCCACAACTAGAGAAACCCAGCACGTAACCCAATGCAGCCAAAAATGAATAAATAAGTGAAAATTTAAAAAAATTAAAAAAAACACCAACTAAAGGGCCACACTGAAAACCTCTTGATAACAATAGCTCCTATTTACTGATGCGTACTATCTGCTTAGCTCTGGGCCAAGCATTCCACATTTTCTTATCCTCATAATGACTCTGTGAGATAGGGGCTGTTATTATTCCCATTTCCTAGGCCCAGAGCTGTGAAGTAATGTGTCAGGTCACACAGCCTGTGAGTGACAGGACTAGGTTTTAAACCCAGTTCTGTCTAATCCAAAAGCACAGATGCTTCCAACCCACGCTGAGGGCCCTTTACTGACTCCGGCAGAGCCCTGGGGGGCTAATTCTACTGCCCTCATTTTTCAGAGAACAAAACAAAGGTCCAGAGGAAACTGACTCGCTTCAGGTCATGGCTTTACTCTTTCAGGGCTCTCTCCCCACCCCCCCGTGCCCCCTCAGACTGAACCGTCAGACTCACACTGAGGGCCTGCCTCCTCGTGGCCTCTATCTGCCACGCTCTGTTATCCCAAAACATATGACAGAATGGCCCTGATCCCTTGGCACCCTTCTCTTAACTGCACCAGCACCACCACAGAAACCCTGAAGAATCCCAGTAGCTTCTGTCCTCCGGCTTCAGGCAGAGCTCTGGTCAGTTCAGGGCTGTCGCCACTGGGAGGCAGGTGGCATTACCGTATGAACGCCCAAGCCGGCCAGCATGTAGACCAGGTCCTCGGTGGCCAAGTTTCCCGATGCTCCGTGTGCATAGGGACAGCCTCCAAGTCCCGCCACAGAAGAGTCCACGACACTCACTCCCATCTGCAAACAAGGATGGTGAAACATGGCTGTCACCGTGGGGACCAGAGCCAACAAAGCCGGTTCTTGTAAACCTACCATCTGCTGCCTGAAATTCTTTGGCTTATGATTCAGTCAACGTGAAAATCCCACTGAAAGAAACTGTTCCTCTTTGTAGTTCCTAAAACAGTGTGAGTCTTTTATGCTACACTGTTTCCTCTGCCAGGAATATCCACCCTCCTTCCTTTCATGGTCGACTCACCTTCTCCTTCTCAGCCTAAAAGCCACCTCCTCAGAGGGGCCCTTCCCGATCACTGACCTAAACTAACCCCCTCCCTCACCCCACGTCAAGCCTCTAACCCCACGGAGGCCTATCCCATTTCCCTAGGTCAGTCGCTCCCACTTTCCTAAGATGACTGTTTCACTTTCTCCTCTCTCCTTAAACCTCAACTCTGAGAAAACAGACCCAGAAGGTAATAGAATCATCTGGCTTAAAGACATGAGCCTCAAGGAGGTAACATGAGAACTAAAAAGAGGGGAAAAAATGAGGTGGCCCCGGATTGCTCTGGCTAACCTAAAGACAACCGGCTAGACTCAGACTCTATCACTACAGCAGGGCGGCCTGTGGTCAGACACGCGGAAATTTCCGTCTAAGGGGCTGCTGGGCCATGGGACCCTCATTCTGGGCCAGCCCGCAAGAAGCAAGCCTCAAAAGAAACCCATTCTGAGGTCTTAGTCCAATCTTTGGGGAACAGCATTAAAAGTTCTCCCTCTGAGTGACCTCTGCCTCCCTCCCTCCTTCCTGCCCGCTCTCGCTACACACAGGCACACGCACGCGCACTCACAGCCCTGTGTGCTAGGGCGGGGCCGGGGCACCTGAGTCCTCCCTGACCCCACCTTAGTCTTACAATGCAGTGCTGCCTGGTCACCTTTCGCTTCCCTTTTTCAACTGCTTAACTTTGTCGTGTCCTTCAGGCCTCCCCTGGCGAATCCTCCCTGACCTCCCCAGCTGGGACTGGGGCCTTGCCGAGCCCCAGGCTTCCTCCCTGCGTGGCATCTGTCACAATGTGTTAGGATTATCACCTGATTCTCGACTGTCTCTCCTAACAGACAGATGCAGGCACTTTCAGGGCAGGGTCACACGTCTGTGTCCGCCATGGCCAGCCCGCGGCCTGGCACACAGGTGTGGGCCTTCAGCACAGTGAGCGCTTGCGGAAAGAATAAATGACACATAGCTGTCCTGCCACCGTACCCTTTGGGAGAATGGACATGTGCCTCTATTCTGGGACATGCCCTGATTACCTGCAGGGCCATCAAGGTGTTGGCCAGGGCCTGGCCATAGGTGTCATGGCAGTGGACAGCCAGGGCAGCCACTGGCACCTCATGCATGACAGCAGACAGCATATCCTTCATGGTCCCAGGGGTGCCCACGCCAATGGTGTCCCCCAGAGAGATCTCATAGCAGCCCACTGAGTACATCTTCTTGGCGACCTGGGGAAACAAGCAGGCACTTGGAGGACCCCAGATTCCTCAAGCCAGGGGTCCTTAGCCTAGGCAGAACACCTCCACGTGTGAGACACTAAATTCCTATCAGACCACAGACTCCTTACAACT